GGGTGGGGGGAGGAAAGAAGGCATGGGAATGGCTGGTATTGCTATGCTGAAACCCCAGCATCAGGGCCCAGCCAGGAAAGGGTTAATCTTGCCAGAGTTTTGTATATGAAATGGCACCAGGAAAAAAAAAAAGTGCAGACTAGCAATTGAGCCCTGTCTCATCCTGGTTCAAATGACATTGTCTGAGCTTCCCCAGCCTCGCCTCCTGCACTAATTACAGACCTTCCCTGGGGAGGAAGGCTGGGGCCAGGAGGTCCTCATTACAGGCTCCCTCACTCAAGGGCGCAAACCCCAATGACCAAACCCAATGACCAAACAAACTCTCTCTAGGAGAGACCCAGGGGTTCCCCTGATGGGCCTCTCTGCTGCTGCCCGGCAAAGAAAGGGTTAAGCCTGGACTGGAGGGACAGGCCAACGTGTAATAATGGGGCGCTAAGGTGCCCCCCACCAGTCCTACTTGCCCGGGCCTGGGTCCCCTTCTCATCTCTTGCCCCCCAAGATGGCTGCTAGAAGGGCTGTGTCAGGCCTCCCTCTGTGGTCGCCTGCTGACTGCCTCTCCCTGTGGCCTGTGGAGACCTCGCCTTCTTTAATCTTCCGTCTATCTAGAGGCCTCGCCCCTCTGAGATTGGCTTTGATGTGGGGCCTGCTCTCAAGGGGGAAATCAAGGGTTGCTGAGGCCTGGGCTGGACTCTGCCCACTGCCCCCAGCCCGGGCGGGCCCAGAGGTCTCCCAGCCGCCAGGGCTAGACCCCAAGGGTGACCTCGCAGACAGGGCAGGAACTTAGGGCTCTGATCTTCAGGCAAATGGAGGGGTTGCTATCCGGACCCCAAAGTGGAGGAGAAGGCTCAGAAGTAAGAACTTTATCACATCGTGTGATTTATTTTTATTCCTGTCTCCCCCTCATAAAACTGTGAACATAATGACAACAACAGCATTATTGTGTGCCCACTGAATACCAGGCACTAGGCTAAGCATCTTCCATTTATAACATCATTTAATGCTTATAACTATGTAATATGGGGATCATTTTAAAGGGGAGCAAAGTGAGGGTTATTGATTCATTCATGTTCATAAAAATTTATTGAGTTCCTACTATGTGCCAGGCACTGTTCTAGGCACCAAGCATGTAGTCGTGAACAAAATGGACACATTCTTACCCCATCCTAGTTGGGGTGACAGGTCATAAACAAATGGTCCAATGCACATAGTATCATGTCATATAATAAAAATATCATCTTGAAGAAAGGTATCCAGAGTGACAGGGACCTTGCTTTGGACTCAGTGGTATCTTCTCCTCTGTGAGGAGACAGAGTCCTGAGTCAACAGAGGGAGTTAGTCTTGTGACTATCTGGAAAGTGACCAGGAGAGGGGAGAAAAGGAGCAAAGGTCAGAGGTTGGAGGTGCTTGTTCTGTCCCAGGCATGGCCAGGAGGTCAGTGGGACAGTGGTGGGAAGCAGAGGGCCTGGCACAGACGAAATGCCCAGTGAGTGGTTGGGGAGTGACGGATCAGTTCCGGCGCTTCCACTGACCAGGCAGTGGGGTTGGGCAAGTCCTTTACATCTGTCTGAGTCTCAGTGTGTCCACCTGGAAATGGGGGAGAGAACCACAGCCGCCTTGTCTGCAGGACCCCACCTGGTGGGGATCCAAGGAGACCTGGCGTGCGGAAGGACTTGGCGCCGTGTGAGGTGTCAGAAAGTGCTCTGCTGTCTCATTCCATCCATCCTGACTCCCATGCTGGCTCTTGACATGACTGCCCACAGGCACAAATGTGTCCTTGTGACTGTTTGTCCTGCCCCATGGGGCAAGGCGTGTCCATGTCACCTGTCTTGGGTATGTGTGGACCTGTATGTGTCTGTTCACCTGTGTTGACAGCCCCTAGAGAGCAGCTGCCTTGGCCTGACGGTCTGTGGGAACTTACCTCCCGGTTTGAGAGATGAAGTGGAAGACAGAAACAGAGGCTTAGCTCTACCCCCATCCATACTGGGGCCCTGTCTTCTCTCCCAGCTCTTAGTGAAAGGTGTACAGAGGCTTAGCTCTACCCCCATCCATACTGGGGCCCTGGAATTCCCATAGCTCACTCTAAATCTTCTCTCCCAGCTCTTAGTGAAAGGTGTATAGACTGTCTGTGTACCTGTCATTCTATCCCACCTGCCTGTGGGCTCCTGAGAGCTGGGATTGTCCCTTGTTCTTTCTATCCCAGGGAGAAACACAGTGTCTGGTATACGATTGGCGCTTAATAAATGATGGTTGTATGAATGAATAGTCCATAGTCCTTGGAATCAGAGGGGCCTGGAGTTATAGGGCTTCTGGACCCTTTAGCCAAGCCACTGATCCTATCTGGACCTCAGTTTCCTGTTCTATAAACAGGGCTTTTGTCTATGTTCATTTATTCATTCATTCCCAGTCATCTCTTGTGAATGTTATGGCTCCGTGGTATGTTCTGTGGATACGGACGTTAATTAGAATCACTGCTGTTCTCAAGAAGCTGAGAGGTGCCATAGGCATGGGTTGCAATAACTGCAATGAAAGTGATAAATGTCTTCATGGAGGGCACCCAAGTGGCTCAGAGGAGAGTGTGATCTGCTCTGAATTTGAGTGGGGGGGGGGAGATTTCACAGTATAGGGGGAGTCTTGGAGGATGAGCAGTTGTTTCCTAAGCGGACAAAAGAAGAAATGGCTTTTGGGGCAAAGGAAACAGCATGGCAAATATCCTGGAGGTATGGCATAGCCTGGCACCTTGGGAACACTGCTGACAGTGAGTATGGCTGAGAGTTATCAAGGTGGGGAGGGCGTGGGGAGGTACAGAGCTGGAAAGGATAGCCTACAGCTGGTTGGTGCAGGGCCTTGGAGGCCCCTCCAAGGACTTCTAAGAGCCATCCTGAGAGCAAATGGGAGCCGCTGGCAGAGTTTATGGAGGAAAATAGCATGATCAGGATTGCATTTTTGATAAACCACTTTGCTGTGGTGTGGACAATAGATTGGAGGCAAGCAAGACAAGAATCAGCAGGTGGAGTTATGAGGCTGCTGCTGTTATCCAGGCGGGATACGATCAGGTCCTGAACAAACTTAACAATGGCTTACAGTTACCCAGCGCGTACTCTGTGCCAGCCAAGCTCTATATTAAACACTCGCAAACATCGCATTTCATCCTCATAACTCCCCTGCTATTATGATGATCACCCCCGTATTACAGATGGGGGAATGGAGGCTCGGTCACAGGCTGGCAAGTGGCAGAAGGAGGACTTATATCCACTCACCCTGACTTCAGCACCCTGCTCACTGATGAAGGCAGTGGGT